TGAAGCCTTTGTATATATATTTATTCAACTGTGAATAAAATAGTCAAGCCATTCTACACAGTCTCTTAACCTTCTTATTAGTGGTATCAGAGCCGCAAACCTCAAACCTCAAACAAGATTTATTGATCCGCCATGGCTGACAACATTCCAACGAAGACACCCACACCAACATCCACAAAAACTCAATCAATCAATTCCTCCTCTACAACCCACACCGTTGTTGTTGCCAATTCTAGTGAACCATCTCCTACCAAACACATCATTGTTACTTTTAATCCAACACAATTCCCACTCAAACTAACACCCAACAATTATCTCACTTGGAAAGAACAAATTACCTCTTTGTTGACTTTCTTGAAGGCACTAAACCTTATCCTGTAGTTCCAGCAACTGCAGAAGAGATACTTGACTCTCCTTTTGATGTTTGGGTGAGACAAGATCAAGCCCTTCGCCACGCCTTACTTACTGCCGTGTCAGACTCAATTGCCCCACGTATTGCCATGGCTCGAACGTCAAATCAAGCATGGATCATGCTGGAGAAGTTATATGCAAATAAACCTACAACTCGATTTGTAGTTTGGAGAGATCGTCTTCATAACCACAGCTCAAAGGGAAAAACAATAACTGAATACTTGGATCATGTACAGAAGATTGTCGATGAGCTTGAAAACATGCGCCCACCAGTGTCAGATGAGGAACTTTCTATTCACGTCATGAACGGTCTTGGACCATAATTTCGAGAATTTTGTGCCTTTATTCGTGCTCACGAGACATCACTGCCATTTGAGGATTTTCAAGATAGACTCGTGGCTCATGAAGAAGCCCTACGCCATAAAGAAAGACGGCTTGACAAGGCGCCGGTCATAGCACACCATGCTGTTGTGCAGAACAAATACTCTAAGGGACATAACTCCTATTCTCCCTTTGGTTCGAATAATCAACCACATTATTCTGTTGCTAACAAGCCCACTTATGCAGGTTCTAATCAGCAACAACAGCCTACTAATGCATGGAACAGATCTAATCGAAGCCACAACCAGCCTAGAAATCCATTTAATGGAAGAAAAAATGGAAATTGAAGGTCTTATGGGAACAAGAATTCCACTGCATGCCAACTCTGTTATCAATCAGGTCACTTTGCCAACAATTGCCCTTACTATCCAGTTGAAGCACAAGCACCTATGGCCCATTTTGCAACTTTAACAGGTAAATCTTCTCGTAATGGTTGGTTGATTGATTCTGGGACCAATAATCACATAACAAATGACTTGGCAAATCTAGCATTGCATTCTGAATATGACGACCTGAAGAACTTCATATTGGTGATGGTTCAAGCTAGGAGATTACACACATAGGTGATACAACCATACCCAACTCCACTCTTCCTTTAAATAATGTTCTTTGTGTGCCACAAGCCTCATGAAATCTTACTTCTGTCTCTCAACTATGTAAGAACACTAATACCTTTGTTGAATTTCATCCTAACTTTTTTCAAGTGAAGGATCGTCGCACAAGGGCAATTCTACTTCAAGGGCCAAACAAACATGGAGTCTACCAAATTCTCGACAAGGGAGATTCTAGATCTTCATTCGTGGCTTATGTGGGGGAACAAGTCTCAAATTCAAATTGGCACACACGACTTGGGCATCCTTCTTCCAAAATTTTACAGTTGATTCTTCGTACTTTTCAATTACCTATTTCAAATAAAAACATCTCTTTTTCTTGTGAGTCATGTTTATGCTCCAAAAGTCACAAACAACCTTTTAGTAATTCTACCATTTAAAGTTCTACTCCACTTGATGTTATTTTTTCAAATGTTTGGGGTCCAACCCCAGTGTCTTCAATTGATGGCTATAATTATTTTTTACTCTTTATAGATCATTTCACATGTTATACTTGGATATATCCATTAAAAAGAAAGTCTGATGTTTCCATTATATTCCCTAAATTTCAAACTATTGTTGAAAAGCAATTTGGCCATAGCATTAAGTCCTTTTACTCTAACGATGGAGGTGAATATTTTGGTCTTCGAAATTATTTTTCTGATCAAGGCATTTCTCATTTTACAACTCCTCCCTATACACCTAAAATAAATGGCATTAGTGAGCAACATAATCGATATATTGTTGAAACTACAATTACACTTTTGCATACTGCCTCTTTGCCAACCCGTTTTTGGTCATATGCAGTTACAACTGCTGTATATCCAATTAATAGACTACCATCCTCCGCAGTTTCCTTCAAATCTCCTTTTGAAAAATTGTTTCGTGTTAAACCAAATTATCTTAAGCTGAGAGTCTTTGGGTGTGCGTGGTATCCATGGCTTCGTCATTACAATAATCACAAACTTCAAGCACGATCTCATCGTTGCTTTTTTTTTGGATACTCTATTGAAAATCTTAGCTATAAATGTTTTGATGCTGAATCAAGAAAAATTTTTAACTCTCGTCACATGGTGTTTGTTGAAAATTTCTTTCCTTTTAAAACAAATTCCGAGTCCACCGTCTCTTTGTCAAATATGGAAGCCTGGTTCTTGCCTAATCAATTGCCAATTAAATCTGAGATTCGTCTTTCATCACAACCTGATTCACAGCCTGCGAAGCAGCAATTGTCACAGGCGACATTTTCCTCACCTGTTCTCATCTCTAGTCCACTCTCATCACCGTTTCTACCTTCTGTCTACAGCCCAATCCCCCACCTTCTCAACCAACCAGCCCATGTTCCTCTAGCCCAGCCCACTTATCTAAGTCCATTTCTACCCCTGCATCTCCATCACGTGATGTTTCCCCTGTATCTCCTTTATCACCACAATAGCATCCCGACTCAACTCAACCTCATGCTCCCTTGCCAAATCTCAACTTGTGACTAATTCCAATCATGCTCCTACCGACCCACCCTCTCCTTCTATCCCGCCTCACCGAACCCACCCCATGGTGACCTGTTCCTAAAACCAAATCTTCAAACCTAAACAATTATTTCTTGCCACCACATCTCCGAATGATACTCCGATTGAACCTACGTGTGAATCTCAAGCTATGAAGGATCCAAACTGAAGATCTACCATGTTCGACGAATTCACTACTCTAGTTCGCCAAGGCACTTAGGAACTAGTACCACCATCATGGTTTTTCTGACTCTGACTGGGCTGGTGACCGTGATTCTTACATTTCCACTACTGGTTATATGGTTTTTCTTGGTTCTAACCCTATCTCTTGGAAAGCTACTAAACAACGAGCTGTGGCTCGCAGTTCAACGGAGGCTGAATACCGTGCTCTTGCTGCTGCCTTTTCTGAAGTTATTTGGATTCGGAATCTGTTAGATGAACTAGGTATCTCTTGTCCTGGTTCTCCTACCTTGTACTATGACAACCTGGGTGCCACTTATTTGAGTAGTAATCCTGTTATGCATTCTCGAATGAAACACATTGCTATTGATTTACACTTTGTTCGTGAATTGGTGGAAAGAAAGGTTCTTCGTGTGGCACACATCTCTTCCAAGGATCAGCTTGCAGATGGCTTTACCAAACCACTCCCCAACACTCGTTTCTTGCAACTTCGATCCAAGATTGGCATCGCCGATGGCTCCTCCATCTTGCGGGGGTGTGTTAAGGATACTCATCAATGACTAAATCAATCACACAATATGGGCATTGCTGCAGATATGTGATCAATTATCTGATAGGATTGCAGATATGGATTTACTATACAATAAACGATGATCTGTTTGTATTTCCTTTTATATATCTCTTGGACAATACTCTTCCGCGTGAAGCCTTTGTATATATATTTATTCAACTGTGAATAAAATAGTCAAGCCATTCTACACAGTCTCTTAACCTTCTTATTATATTTGATTATATAATATTTAATATTGTTAAATAAATGTTAGTACCTCAAATTAAATTTAGTTATTTTAGTTTGACTATTGAATAAAATTTAATTAAATAAATTATAATGAAATTTTTTCATATGCATTTAGAGTATTTTCATTTAGATGATTTTTTAATTTTTATTTATTTATTTTATAAAATTATTATATTAAATTTTATGTAAAATCAAATTGTAACAATGAAATCTTATCAGAAGAATGACAAAATATAAATTTTTTAATTAAACAATTATAGATATTAAATTAATTAAAAAATCAACTTGTATGATATAAATTATGAAATATTATATCTACCTTTGGTTTTAAAAATATTCATTCGACGATATGGTGCTGTTAAAGTTGTGGATTCCACTTTTTAATGCGATTCGACTTTTATATGCATTACTCTCATTTGAAAAGCTAAATTCATTGAAAATATTTGAATTTAAAAGAAGGTTAAATCCCTATTTGGGCCCCTGAACTATTATATGGACCTCTGATATGGTCCTTAAGCTAAAGAAATTCCTAATTTGGTCCTTGAACTCTGGTACGAACCTGAGTTGGTCCCTAAACTATTATACAGACTCCCAAGTTAGTCTCTAAACTATTGTACGGATGTCCAATTTGGTTCCTACTGTTTACCAATTTAACCCCAACTTGGTTCTTCTGTTAAATAATAGCTCTGGGGTGAAATTGTAAACAGTAAGGACCAAATTGGGGGTCCGTACAATAGTTCAAGGACCAACTTAAGCCAAATTATAAACAGTGGGACCAAATCGGGTCCGTACAATAGTTTAAGGATTAAATCAGAGATTTCTTTAGTTTAGGGATCAAATCAGAGATCTATACAATAGTTCAGGGACCAAAATGGAGATTTAACCTTAAAAGAATTAACTTGCGTGGGTCATTACGCAACTTTTCAGGGAATTCTCTTTTTACCCAACACGTGCTCCTTATCATGCCCTCATCTCAATATATAATCCGTATCTGATCTAATCTCAGCCTCACCAACCACGTGTCCAAGCCTATGCCTTATCTTTATCTCAATAGTTAAATCTTAATTTTAATTCTTATATTTTAAATTTTAAATATGTTTAGTTTTTAAAATATTTTTATATCTTTTATGTTTTTAAATTATAAAAAATATATTTTTTAATTATTTTATTAATTGATCTCTTATGTTTAATTTTATGTATATTTTTAATTTTTGAATTAATAAATTTAAAAATTAAAAATATATAAATTTAGATAAATTTAATTAATTAATAAAAAATAAAAAATATACATTTTTAATTAAAAACAAAAGAATTGAAAAAAGTTTAGAGATAAAATTATTTTAAAATTAAAAATTAAAACACTAAATTTCGTATTTAACCAATTTGTAAATCATTCTAAAATAAATCAAAGAAGGTATGCTTTAATGATGGTATGCTTTTATCTACTCCGGAAAAAAGATTTATTTATTTTATATTTTTAGGGTATATGATAAATAATAATTATTGATTAATAATAATTATTTTTTTATTTTAAAAGTGATAAAATTAATTTTTATTTAAATTTTAAATATTATATGTTAAGTTTTGGTTAATTTATTTTAAATTAAAACAAAAATTAATTTTTAATTTAAAATTTTATATTTTTTAAAAAATATTATAATTATTAATTAATTATTACTTTTTATCTTTACCCTAAAAATATAAAATACAAAAAAAAGGGTATTTTTTTTTATTTGAATGGGAATTATTATTAAAAATAGTTAAAGATGACAAGTCTTGATACGATACACAAAACGATCCTTCCGGTGATGGGACCAGCAAATCATACAAAAATAAGAAACAAAATCAAAACTAACAAAATGTTTGGCAAAAGATGCAGATTAGCCCCTCAACCCGTTGTGTGGTGGCAGATCAGCCCCTCAACTCAGTTCACGCGCAAATCAACCCCTTAACTCGCATGCGGTGGCAAATCAACCCTCTGTTAAGCCCGACGTCATTAATCCGTTAAGTTTTAACGTTCCGCTCATCAGCCCCTACCTTGCATCTGACCTGAATTGTTTTTGCTGAGATGGATGTTTTGTTAGATTGAAGAGAGCGCAGGGAATGAAGGTAGCCAAGGGTGGGAATCTGGTATTATGTGCGGGAGAGGCCCAGCTCTATACGCTGGACCAACTGATGAGAGCGTCGGTGGAGTTACTAGGGAGAGGCACAATGGGGATCACATACAAGGCAGTGTTGGGTAACCGTCTGATTGTGACGGTGAAGCAGCTGGATGCCCGATTAGCCGGCACATCGAAGTAGATGTTCGAGCAGCTCATGGAATCGGTGGGTGGACTCAGACACCCCAATTTGGTCCCACTCAGGGCCTATTTCCAGGCCCATAAAGACAGGCTTCTTATCTACGATTACGAACCCAATGGCAGTCTCTTCTCCCTCATTCACGGTAAGCCTTCGTTACTTCATTACTTCATTGCTTCATTACTTCATTTTCCCTGTTCAGTTTCAGTGTGTTAACTCGTCATTCCCAGCTTGTTAACGCAGTAACTACCCAATTAAGGGTACGGCTATAATTATATTGGTAATAGCTTTATAGCAGCTGAATAGGATTAGGAAAACTATCTTTGAATTTTTTTTTTTTAGATTGAAGGGTTAATTACTTAATAATAAAGATTTTAATTTTAATTTTAATTTTAAACTAAAAATTTTAAATTAGTAAGTATTAATTTAACAAAGTTATTTATTTATTTAT